ATTATACGTATGTAATACTAACTCGAACATGTACTTGAATATATTCATTTCCATTTCATTATCTTTCAATAATAAAATGTATTACATTAAAATAGTTTCGTATAAGAATTTTAAAATTAATATTGATATCTTATGGGTTTTTAAAATATAAAAAACCGTTATAGTTTGATCTCTCACCTAGAACACTATATTTGATTCAAGATTTTGAAGTGTATGTTAAACATGTGATACTATCTTTATTCTAATTTTTGTTTGAACTTCCGGTTTTGAGTTAGTTACACCAAGTTAAATTCTATCTTTAAAAACCCATGTAAAAAACCATACTATTATTTAAATTCTACTAAATTAAAAAGTAAAACCCATTTGGTACTATCTTTATAAACTTACCTTTTTTTTAAAAAAAAAAAAGGTAAAAGAATTACTAATATACGTCAACCAGACAAAATACAATAAGAAATAATTAAAAAAGTTTGCACATTGTGGACATTGTGTAAGACGACTAATAACGTTGAATAACGGATGCAGATTGACAAGCAAGACCAACAATATCGATATTATATTAGAAAGTCAAACTTTATTTACAATAGATACATAAGCCTTATGAAGACCTTCAGTACCTGTTTGTAAATTGAGACTATTTTTCTGTTTTTTAATATGAAGCATTTTAGATATTATGCGTTTTCTATAACAAGGCTCTTCATCCAAAATCTTTATGTTATCCCATTGAAAATAATGATTATGATTAAGTATATGCTCAGTTATAACAGAACGGACAGAAGTGTTATGTCTGATGTGATTACGATGTTCTGTGATTCTAGTTTTCAATTGTCTGCTCGTCTGTCCGACATACGAAGCATCGCAATCGTTACACTGGATTTTATACTGTAACGTCCGATGCGCCTACTATACGGCACCGCGTCCGTCACTACACCGCGAACACTAACTTAACTAGTGTGAGTAATACGAACACACAGAGGCTTGTAACACGCGTCTAAACGGCCGAAACCAAATCGAGCGTAACTGCGCCTGCGCCAACTACTTAGGGGTAAAAATGCAACAGGGATGCATTTAGACATAAAAACACCACTGCCAACGAAAAGATATTCATGAAATAATAAGATTAAGTTAGTCAAACCTGAAAATTATCGATAATCTCAGGCAGAATCTAAGAAAAACCGCGTTGCATCTCGGTAATGCACTTCCATGCAGTTTCAAACACACCGGTGGTACGCCAGCGAGCATGGGAACACTTGCATATTCATCTGACAAGTAATGACTCCGTCAATTCCGAATAAGAAGCCTAAGTAAACATAGCTTCTTTCGCGAACGGTTGATTCTCAGTAATCTCGCGAAGAAGCGGGCTACCGAAAACACGGGAAGAAAAACTCGCCGCATCTTTGTATACATGTTACTCGCGCCGTAATGCAACTCACGCGGAGCCGGCGCGGCTATATGAACTCTACCGGCTAGACTATCGACCTCTCGCACCCGCGCCTCAAAATTCTGTACAATTAAGGGAAAAATTAACGATTTAAGAATTGAGGAAATTTCTAGAAGATCCTTACACGGACACAAGACAGTCAAGGAAATAACATCCCCTTACCGCGAGACGCTACCAAGCGGTCTGTATATAAACGCGCCGATTCCAGCGGAGCGTACCTATTCCTCTTTAAACTGAGCCAAAGACAAGGTAATTATACCTCGCGCCGACAGGCGTTTCTGCGGCTTCCTTTCTACAAGTACCATATCACAAGCCGATTCTTGTCCGCGCCCCTTGGCGTCCAGGAATCAATCTAACTTCCCTCCTATACTTAGCCAACTTTCGTCCGCGCCTTTTTGGCGTTCGAAAGTTACTGTATTAACACTCACTGCCTATCCATAATAGATATAAGTCGGGAAACACTTAGAATAATTTCTCTCATGTCGCACTTAGAATATCTCTTACTAATTAAGAACCATTACACTTTGCTATATTCTTCACTTAACTCGAAGAACTATTAACAAGTCTTAAAATTCAGGAAATTGCACATTCAAATCATTCTCAATTATCTGAGAATTTTCATTACATTATTGAGAGAGGTTATTTCTAACAACATTCGTATATGCTTTGGAACTTACATCCGGAAACAAGAACTCTTCGTTTTTTCTCTTAACCACAAATTTTTAGTAACAATAATATCCACTGAGTATCTTCTTTTGTATCGGAAATCCCGAAATTTAAACTTACAAGTAGATCAATAATCGTTAAAAACATTAAAATCTTGGCCGCTAGAAATTACAAACTCAAGACAGTTCTCTTTCACCGGAGAACAAAATATTATTCGCGTACCGAGAATCACATCAATTTGCCGGAATATTTACCCGCACTCTCGGAATATTGATACCCGTGCTCAGAATATTCTGCATTAAACTCTGAAGGTTTCTATTTCACATTAGGGTTATAATATTTTCTTTCTAACGTCCAATTTAACGAATCTACAATCCCGGAACGATAACCACCTACAATTAGATTAGAGTAAATTCAAAAATGCAGAAATTAGTTTCGAGCAGCCGTACCTTCAGAACCTTCGTTAAAATCAATAGATGCCAAAAAAACTCAGGAAGAGACGAATAAGGAGCAAGAGGGGTGGCGTAAAGGTACGAATTCGGGAAGTCATCCGCGAATATACCAAGGGCGGAACGTTCGATCCTTCTATCTACTGGGCCCCCGAACCACCAGACGTCGCCAAAACACCGGCCGCGGAAAAGCAAGTCCCGAAGGATCAACCCGTAAGGAACCCGTCAAAACCGATTCCGCGACCAGGGCCGCGTCCTTGCTCCCCTCCACCCGTATGCGTGGCGCCTATTAGAAAACCAACTCGGCCCATACTGATCACAAGTCTTAAGAAAAAGGGCAAGGACTAAAGGCTATTAATATTAATCATTAAAGTATACAACCTGATTTCTATTCTATATTATTATACTTTTATTATTATTATTGTTGTATTTTCTATTTTCTATTATTACTACAGGCCCATACTGATCACAAGTCTTAAGAAAAAGGGCAAGGACTAAAGGCTATTAATATTAATCATTAAAGTATACAACTGATACCTGATTTCTATTCAATATTATTATACTTTTATTATTATTATTGTTATATTTTCTGTTTTCTATTATTACTACTATTATTCCTACCATATACATATATACATATATATATATATATATACATTTATTAAAATTCAATTAGTTTCGGTTTTGATTATTTCATTTTTTCTTCTAATTACCTCCTCCTATCCTCCCCAAAGAGAGATGTGGATGAGTGAAGCTATATGATGAACCATGAATGCCATCTCAATATGGTACAAGACTCTGACGCTTCCTCAAATCTCTCAATTTAATTTCTAAAAAGAGGATACGATGGTCTCTTGCATTACGAATTTTGCTCAGAATTACATAGTCAATAGCCCCTGGCTATAAAGACTACCTTTCAAGATAAAGACATAATATTGTGCCTTTCGGCACTGTTGACAGCAGCCTGCCTAAAATACACAAATATAGAATCAGCTGAGAAGCCGAGGCTTCACCCCGCGCGCCCCGCTCCGCGCTCGCGTTCCCCCTTCTCCCCGCGATGCGTCTCTTCCGCAGCATAAGCATCGCGAACCAATCGGGACGTAACAGACATCGGTCCCGGGACGATCCCGATCTCGAGAAATTTGTACGCTGCGAATGTTAGTGCAAATGTCCTCCCCATAATGTTACGTGTGCTGCAATAAAGAATAAATATAGAATATTTTCATAGAAATTTTCACAGATATAGAATATTTATCATAGATATAAGTGATAACTTACAATGCTTGTTGATTATACGTATCCATAGCGCTGGAGATTGCAACCAAACGAATTCTTGAAAACGAGTGATGCAGTGATGTTGCGCGAACTGCTTTTAAACCGTCTCCCCTTCAACGTTATTAATTTTAGATATCAATAACGTCACACCACCATAAAGGCCGTTCCACCCATATCTTTTTATCCCCGTAATGAAGGTAATCACTTAAACAATATTTTCCTTTTTCCCAACATGTATTAATACATGTTCCTGTTTTTGTTAATTAATTATTCTCATAAAAATTCTCAATATAACCCTCTTGCAATTGTGAATGTCTTTGACACCAAGTATCGGTACGCGTCAGCACGTTGCGGTAACCGAATTCACGATTACGAAGTAAATGCGGAATCGATGAACAATGACGGTTAGACATCTTTGCACAAAATGGTGGAAACTAAACTCTCGATTAACGAAGTGTCTTCGTAGATTCTTTTCGACGACTGCAGTGGAAAACTAAATGTGACTGTTGAATCCGCCTGCATAAGGTTTTAGTTGTCTAACGCTTATTGGATACCATTTTTTTCTACAGAATTTTCAGTCACCCATTGGCGAGTTTAGTTTTCTTCTGAGAGAGGGGGATTTATCATCCTTTCCGAGCGATCTAGTTATGATTCATGTTGTTCTTACGTGAATTTTCATATTTTCACTTTTATTAGCTGACATACCCGTCTAGACATGTACGTTCTTGTTTGAACAGGATTTACCCCTATCTGATTTACGATATTGTCCGAGATCGACGGTTCTCAGTTTAAAAGCTATGTTTTTTGTTTATTCGTCATAAAATCATAGATTCCACTGGACGTAACACTTAATGTATCCGTCGACCAATGATAGTTAATCCTCCTCAACTTCGACTATGATTTGTTAAAATAAAAATATTCTCGAATTTTCATGAAATGCAACACCTACCCTTAGTAGCATATAAAAGCGGAGAGATCGGTATACACACTGTCAGTAGTCGAGTTCAAAGATTTTGAGAGTTTTATCGCGTTATACCAAGTCTTTCCGAGTGTGTAATAATAGTGTTCAGTTCGAATGCTCAGTGACAATTTTTTAGAATTAATTTTTTTATTTTTACCGTTAATTAAATATCGTTATTTGTCGTGTTTAAAATTTTTCACTCAAGAAGATGGAACCTGAAAATGCTCCATCAGAAGAAGAAGAATTTGGAAGCGATATTGAAGAAGAAGAATTAATCCTTAGTGATCGAGAAGAAGAGGAAGAAGAAGAAGAATCAGAACCAGAGTCAGATTGGGGGATATCTGATTCATGTTATGAAAGCGATGACGATATTGATACCGATGTTTCAAGACGTTTAGTGACACGAGCTGAAGTGAACACGTTGGATGGCACAAATAGAGTGTGCGCAATCTATTTTTATTACACACCAACCAACAACAACACTGAAAAAATTTGTGGACAATGTATTGTGAGAGTTAATGATTTATTTTCACGACTGTACGCCGTTCGCGAACATACCACTGCTAGACACTGGGATATCAGAGGTATGTTTTGCACGGAATGCAGAGATGATCTGTACAAAATTTACCCGTGCAATCAGTGTTCCATCGTAAAAAAAAAACATCATAAAAATTGCACATCATAAAAAAAAAAGTAAACACGTGATTGTGCAAAAAAAAAACTATTTTAGTGAAAAAACATGGATCAAACGGAGCGAGATTTGATAGAGCAAGCTACCCTGCTTAGTACCAGAGAAGAGTACATCGCGTGGGAACAGCGATGCGACGAGTTCATCGAATCTTTGGAAGAACAGAGTCGGATAAAACGCCCGCGATTATCGATCGGTAATAGACAATCGTTAATCGCTCGTATCGCTCGACTTGAAGGTTTAAAAGATTCGGTGCGCGATCGTTTTGTGCAAGTGGGTGCCGGGTACAGTGCGGGACTTCGATGGCGCGAGATCGAAACGGCGTTCGAAAGCCGTATTCTAACAGGCGCGGTGATAAACTCTAATCACATCGAGCCTCGCCAATTCCTCGAAGACGCGAGTGAAATTGTGCTCGAACGTGTGCGAGATGTCATGCAGAGACATAATTCTGTAAAAATAAATACAGTGTTTAACGGTGAGTTCGTATTAGGTGTTAAACGTGCCAATAAAAGTGTGAGTACGAGAAACTATGAACTTTTTCGTTCGTCAGATTTGCAAGAGTGGTACGCGTCGCGCGTCGTCGAGCCAATCCTGGCATCGCTGGACGAATTCCAGGAACATGATAGTGGGTGGACGCTATCGCGTATCCTCAATTTGACTATTAGTGTGAACAAGTACAATCCTCTGCACGCCGGTTGTGACATTGAGTTATCGAAAAAAATTACGGACAAGAGAGCGATTGTTAATGTGCAATCCCTGGACGATGCGTGCTTCGCGTGGTCGGTGGTAGCCGCTCTGCACCCGGCTAAAAAGCATACGGAGCGAACGTCTTCGTATCCGCACTACTCATCGGTACTCAATCTCACGAATATCGAGTTTCCGATGACATTAAACCAGATAAAGAGATTTGAAAATCTCAATGACATCTCAGTCAATGTTTATTGCATCGAGAACGAAATTCTTCCTCTTCGGCTCTCCGACCGAAAGAGGAGCAAGCACGTCAATCTGTTATACGTGGAGGATCCTCAGGATGAAAACACGAAGGGACAAAAACGTGGGGCATTTCGTCCTGATTAAGGATCTCTCCCGCCTCGTAGGATCGCAACTAAGCCCGGATCGCAACTCAGCAAATCCAAGAAAAAGAATTACTTCTGCGATAGGTATGTATAATAATAATAACAATAATAACAATAACAATAATAATAATAATAATTTATTTTTATTCTTTTTTCCAGATGCTTACACTACTTCAGCTGCAATAAAAAGTTGGAGATCCACACAGTAGACTGTGGAAAACTTAACGATTATGCCATAAGGCTGCCGAGCGAGGACGACAAGTGGCTCAAGTTCAAGAACAACTGCAGGAAGGAGCGCGTCCCGTTCGTCGTCTACGCAGACCTGGAGTGCGTGCTGGAAAACATGGACAAGGATCCGACATCATCCACGTACACTTATCAACGACATAAGGTTTTTAGTATAGCGTATTACGTACACTGCTCGTACGACAGCTTACTGTCGGGTTATCGTTTTCGACGTGATAATAATTGTATAGCGTGGTATGCGGACGAATTAAAAAAAATAGCGCATAGTGTAAAGACTATAAATTCTACAAATGTTCCTATGACAGATTTTACGCGAGACGACTGGCAGAAATTTAATAGCGCTACGCACTGCCACGTGTGCGAAAAACCGTTCGCGAAAGACGGTAAGCAAGCACGCGATCATTGCCATTTGACCGGGCGATACAGAGGCCCCGCGCATTCAAATTGCAATTTAAATTATAAAGATTCACATTGCATACCCGTAGTCTTCCATAATTTATCAGGATACGACGCTCATTTTATTATCAAAGAAATAGCTACAGCGTACGAAGGACGCGTTAATCTTTTACCGATAACAAAGGAAAAGTACATCTCATTTAGCAAACACGTCGACAGCACCATAGATGATAAAAAAAATTGCATACAATTACGTTTTATAGATTCATATAAATTTCTCGCCTCAAGTTTAGAAAAATTAGCGTCTTTTCTCAGCAAGGATAAGCTACGGGTAGTGCAACGTGAATTTTGTAATTTATCTGCAGAAAATTTCGACTTATTGACGCGAAAAGGTATATTTCCGTACGAGTACATTGACAGTGTTGAAAAACTGGATGATGCATGCTTACCACCTCGCGAATCGTTTTACAGTTCATTGACGGATAGTACGGTATCTGAGAGTGATTACGCGCACGCCTTGAACGTATGGCAGCGGTTCTCCATTCGAACCCTCGACAAATACAGTGACTTATATTTAAAAACGGACGTTTTGTTGTTGGCTGACATTTTTGAGAATTTTCGAGATAGTTGCGTTGCGAGTTACGGGCTCGATCCCGCGTATTATTACACCTTACCGGGCTTCACGTGGGATGCCATGTTGAAGCATACAGGTGTAAAATTTGAACTTCTAACTGACGTCGACATGGTTCTTTTCATCGAACGCGGTATACGTGGCGGTCTGAGCCAGTGTTCAAACAGATATGCGCAGGCCAACAACAAGTATATGCAATCATATGATCCGTCGAAACCGTCGACGTACTTGATGTATTATGACGTCAACAACTTGTACGGTTGGGCAATGTGTCAACCATTGCCATACGCCGATTTTCAATGGGTCGACGATGTAGAAAATTTTGATGTTACGACCGTCGCGCTCGATTCACCGACAGGCTATATTCTCGAGGTGGACTTGGAGTATCCGCAACATCTTCATGACGTTCACGCGGACCTACCGTTTTGCCCGACGCGCGAGAAACCACCCGGTAAGCGTGAAGACAAGCTCCTCGCAACATTGTGCGATAAGCAGCGGTATGTCATACATTATCGCAACCTGCATCAATGTACTCGTCACGGTCTCCGTATCACAAAGATCCATCGCATACTACGATTCACACAATCTCCATGGCTTCGCGATTACATAGAACTAAACACAAAATTTAGAACTTTGGCTAAGAATGATTTCGAGAAAAATTTATACAAACTTATGAATAACGCGGTTTTTGGTAAAACCATGGAGAATGTGCGCGATCGCGTCGACGTAAAATTATTAACAAAATGGGTGGGGAGATACGGTGCAGAAGCAATGATCGCAAAACCGAATTTTCACAGTAGTAGCATTTTTTCAGAAAATCTGGTCGCGATAGAATTGCGTAAACTCGAGGTGAAGTTCGACAAACCGATATACGTGGGTATGTGCATCCTCGATATATCCAAGACATGTTTGTATGAATTTCACCACGAATATATGGCACCGCTGTTTCGCGAAAATTGTAAAATTATGTATACCGATACAGACAGTTTAATTTATCATGTAGAATGTGACGATGTATATGAAATTATAAAACGCGACATAAATAGATTTGACACTAGCGATTACGCGGTCGACAACGCATACGGTATTCCGCTAGTAAATAAGAAAGTACCGGGTCTTATGAAAGATGAGAACAACGGCGCGATCATGAGCGAATTCGTTGGACTTAGAGCGAAAATGTATGCTTTACGTGTACAAGGAAAGAAGGATACGAAGAAAGCGAAAGGTATCAAGAGCAACGTTGTAGCGCGATCTATAACATTCGAGGATTACACGCGATGTCTCAATGACACAATCGAGATGACGCGCAAGCAGTCATGCATTAGATCAAAGTTGCACGAAGTATACACGATATCCGAAACGAAAATCGCTCTAAGTCCACATGATGATAAATGATATATTGTGTCATGTTCCACCAATACGCTGCCATGGGGACATTACCAGTGTAAATAAAACTTTTGTATGTATAATA